GTACAGAATTAGTTTTTGTGTTAAGTAAACTATTCAGTGATTGTTTTCTTTTTGGTTATTAATCAGTAAACCAGTTTTAATTTTATGATTTTTCTGAACAACAGTGCAAGACGTGAATTTCAGTTAGCCGTTTCCTTTGGCTTCCACTGACTCTACAGTTTTTGTCGTTCCGTATTTAATTTATAACGTTATTTAACAGATATATAATAGGTCTGTGTTTTTTATTTATTTTATCAATTAATAATGAGTGACACTAATCGTAACAAGTATTTGCTATATAAGTAATATTTAAACTGTCTGCTAACCATTCTTACAATACATGGTTTAGTGACACCTTAAATTTTCATGATATAATAACCATTTTAGAAATCGTTATTTCTATATATATATATATAAAGCATAAGGTCATCTAGAATTACCCAGAGTTCCTTCATACGAGTGTAGCATAAGGTCATCTAGAATCACCCAGAGTTCCTTCATACGGGGGAAGCATAAAGTCATAGAGAATCATCCAGAATTCCTTCATACGAGGTAAGTATAAGGTCATCTAGCACTTTACTATGAAAACGGGTTATAGTGAAGAATAAGTTCAAGTAGCAACTTTTTACAGAGAAAAGTTCATTCAGCATTTCTGCAAACAAATTTTGTTTGTAGTTAGGTATCGAAATCCTGGTTTCTAGCGTTGTAAGTCCGCAGACATATCGCTGTGGCACTAGGGGGCACAAGTAAATGAATAGAGAAGAGTAGGAACATCTTTTACATTTCCACAGGAAACTTACCAGGGAAGAGTACGCTTATCTGGCACTTTCCCACAGAGAAGTAGAGAACTGTAAACATTCTGGTACTTTCTCACAGATAACTTGTGAAGGAAGAGTAAGACTATGTGTTTATTAACCACCAAAAACTTACTGAGGAAGAGTACACTCAGTTGTCACCTTCCTACAGATAACTAAAGAAGTGCAAACATTCAAGTACTTTCCCGCAGATAACTTGTTAAGGAAAAATAAGAACATCTGTCTGATTACCATAGAAAACTTACTAGGGAAGAGTAACTTCATTTGGCTCTTTCTTAAAGATAACTTACCACAGAAAAAAGGATTTACCTGGAATAGTTTACTGACGTCCTAAAATTATTTCTTCGATAGTGGGAAAAATTACATTGAGGGTTATTTGAGACTTGTGGTTTCCAAAGAAGTTTTGATCACAAGTTGGAATACAGAGCAATTGAGGAAATATTCATCAAATAATGAGTACAAGTAATGCAATTTGTGCCAACAAATTTTTAACTGATTCTGATAGTTTATGTATATGGAAGGAGCATATTACATAAATTTATAGAACCGCTACATACATAATATGGATATTACCCCATTGTGCCAATATCTATTAAATAATAACGAATCCGTACATCTATAAGGACTTAAACGGATGTTAAATTTTAACTTCTTAGTATTAACAGTAAGAAACTCCCACGGTAGGCAGAGCAATTCTGTAGTTTTCATCTTTACAACAAACAAACACGTTTTATACAATTTATAAGTGGAACAAAACAACAGTGTTTGTTGTTGTTTTTTTACCGATGTTCAACACATTCATTTTAACACTGGCCTATGACAGGCTTTTAAGAAGTATAGTCTGGTAGCATCATGATACACAAAAAGTATAAATTTCTAGAAATTATTCTATTGCTTTCATTATTTAGTTATTATACTAAATTAATATTTCAATTAAAATCTTTAAGAAACTGTAGTAACCAGAAATACAAAAACTACAAAAAAGGAAGTATTATGAGACTGATGTTACATTTATATTACAGTTGGAGTTACTTTTAAGAACTTTAAAATAACATGCATTTATTTTCTTCTTAGTCTCGACAAAGTACATAAAATGTTCAGGTCATACACAAATGTGATTATTAAGGACACTATTAGCGCTATAAAATCATTTGTAACTGCCTTTCGAATATCTGAACCAAAGAAAAACAGGTAGATATATACGAAAATGTAGTCCGAACGTAATATTTAAGTCAGAAAAAAATCTAACAAAATTGAATGTTTCATATATATTGTGTATGTTTTTAAGGCGGTAAATATCGATTTGATTTACTTTGGGTGGGTGCTGGTTGATATAAATAACTAACTTTAACGCAAGATGGCGCCACATCAGCTACAAGCAGAATTACTTGGACGGGTTCCATTTACAATCCTGGATAAAGACATTTTATCAAACAGAAATTCCATAACTACCTCGATGCCTTGAGCCAAAAATGAATGTGAAAAATAAAAAAAAAAACTTTAGTAGAACTGATGATAATACTTTTTTGCATATGCTCTAGAAACTGTATTATTATAAACTTGGAGATAAAACATCATGTGCTTTCATTCTATTAAAACGTTTTACTTTGGCGTGTCTGAAAAGTTACTAAAATGGCACAGCATAAAAACAATGTGGTAGGCAGAGGCCAAGTGATTCATTCACCATTTAACTAAATGATATCTTCCATGAAACGGCCTTCAGAGTTTGAGATTTCTAAACGATAATTTAAATAGAAAACTTACGTAGAATTCCTATTCTATGGAAGTAATGATTTCACAACATACAGGTTTTGCAGCATTTGCGAAATATATCTATAAAACTAATTGGTTGAAGGAAGACAACTACAGAAAATATGTAAAAAAAAACAAAACAATTAGTTGATTATTTAGCTAGTCCATATTATAGCAGATTCTATAAAACGGGTATAATGTGCTTAATTCTGCTCAATTACTTTTATGAAGGAGAATCATAATTTGCTCTATGATTTAAGACACGCACACACACACACACACATATATATATATATATACCTTGTTTTCACGACAAATCTCACTGAGTATTTTTATAGTGCTAAAGAGTCTCTATGAACTGTCCCCCGAAGGGGCAGCAGTAAGTATACTCAACTTAAAGCTAAAATTTATTTCGATTTTTTACGTTTCGGTTACGAGACAAATTATCAGATTTTTATATTATTTATCGCGACTCTGGGCATTTGGTAAGTAACGGTGTTCAGGGTTACATCCTATATCGTGATTTGGTATGATAGTATTGTTTGATTTTTCATGTTTATCAGTTTAGATCATTTTATTTTTATTAATTTTAGCAACATTTTTTGTTTGTTATTACTAATTTTCTCTGTATTTAGTTTAAGTAATCAACCTTAACTATTTTTTATTACTTTTCCAAATTTGTATCGACATGGTCATGAGTTATGTCGAATAACTGATGTATGTTTGTTTATACGCCCTCTATGAGGGTGGATTAATAAAGAAAAAAAATACAGACTGACAACGTTAAAAGTTGGGGTTCGAATCTGCGCGGGGGACACAGCAGGTAGGTCAATGTGGCCAATGTGGCTTTGCCCTAAAATAACCAAATCTATGTTGTATGAGCTTTTAAGGAGAAGTTAGTATAGGATTTATAACGCTAAATATCGCGCTTCGATACACGCTGTGAGCATAGCACACTAACAAACTTTACTTAGCTCTTGTTTGTTGTTAAACGCAAAGGGATACAATTATTATCTGTGCTGTGCCCACCACTGGTATCGAAACCAGATTTTTAGCTTTATTAATCCTCATACTTACTGCTGATCCACCAGGAGGTCTTACAAAATGCTGAGACCTCTAGCGTAATTAACTATTTTAACTATTACTTTTCCTGTTTTCTGGTACATTTTTAACGTTGTCCGTATAACTGAAATCATAGTGTTTACTGTAAACTTGTGTGGTTGAAGCTTTTAATTCATCAATTTACTAAATCTAAAACATTACTCTCGTTTGTCGTAACACTGATATAATAAAACTAACAATATCATACCGATAGTTTTGTCGCTGTTATTTTACTGGGACACCATTGCTTAGGCTAAATCTTCGCTGTGTAGTATTTATTAAACGCAGAATCTAGAGTTTTCATTTTGCTTTACTGATGATCATACGTAATGGTATAAGGGCGTAGTAAACCTTGTTACCGAATAAAACTTTACTAATAATCTAATTCATAAAAATATTATACTTGTTATCTATCCCCTGAAACCATTATGCTTTTAATGTAACTGTATCAAATTTGTGGATGTATATTATTCAAGGTTATAAGATCATTGAACCAAACCGTCTGAAGACAAACACACTTGCCCTGATGTGAATGTTGGCAGTTACAGATCAAAACGTGTTTCCGTTCTCTTACCGATTACTTTTTAAGACACTTTTTCTCCGGATACAGCTTGTAGATAATTATGCCATTCAGCGTACAGTTGGGTAACCATGAACAGACCGAAAAACTGAAAAAACAGGAATAACTTCGAGAAAAATGTGCTTCTAACTAAACTAGTCGGATCAAACCCCTGAATGAATAAGAAAACATGTGCACGGATAATGCTTTATACCTGGAAAGTTAACATATCGAAAACTTACTTAAAATCCTATTTTATATGCTAGACCACTTTTTGATCATGTGAAAACGGTCCAATGAAGCAATAGTCCAGGTCTTTAAGAATCTAAACTCGATAAATATTAAATTGGTGTGTTTGATCTTCGTAATGGCTGTTTTCTGCCAATCACCCCACTCTTGCGCGATATCCGGTATTGTCATGTTAGCTGGTGGTAGAGGATGCTGGTGAACACGACCGATTGATTTAGGCTTCGCATATGTTAATAAACAGATGTTTCATTGATGTTTACAGTAGCAGTTTAAGCTTAACAATCATGAAGATCAAGGGATGAAATATTTAAATTTTCATGAATAAGAAGGTAATTTGATATATATTTCAAGTTTTGGATATATCGAACATCAAATAAGCTCGAATGAGGCACAAAATTATTTAAGAGCACTAGAGCAATTTTGTTATATCAGATTTTGACAGAAAGGAGTATTTACTTGAAAGATAAACGTTTTTTTACATGTATATCACAAAATGTTCATACGGTAATAAAATGCTCTATACGATTAGATTAAACGATACTTACCCGAATAATCCAGAACAAGTCTTCAAAAGTAGGATATAATTCCGAGTTTAAATAAACTTAAGAGATCTTGTTATTTGATCATCATACTCTTGCAGAAGAGGCAAGTAGCTTGTTCGGCTTGGTCGGTCTGCAGTAAAGCTTCCCGGTGGAATGCTGCAGTCTCTTTTGATGCGCTCAACCAATCATAAGCAGCAAAGACCGCACTAAAACAGCGCCCTCTCTTTTGTCTAGATGTACTCAGTGACTCAGGTGTGATATTTTTATATACAATAAAACTGCTTCTCTTGATTGAAGATCGAAACTTTACCAAATATGCCCAATCGTTTGAGACGTTGGAGTAAAAATAAACCTGGCCAGAGATAAAGGAGACGAAATTACGAATTTTCGATACTCAGTTTGCGAATACTTTGCGTATAACATTTTAAAGAACGATTTGTTTGTTTGTTTGAAGTCAAGCACAAAGCTGCACAAACGGCTATCTGTGCTCTGCCCACCACAGGTATCGAAACCCTGTTTCTAGCGTTATAAGTTCGCAGACATACCGTTGTGCCACTGGGGGGGGGGGCTTTAAAAACGAGGCGTAATAAGGTAATGATACAATTACACGTCGTATTGTTCTCTATGAAAGACAAATATCATAGAAAATTAACTCAACCGTTGCACATAAATTATGTTTGTCTAAAGCATTGTTAGCACACTCCAACCGTAGTTCAACCACAGGTAAAATGAAAAACAATAAATTAAAAAATAACGTTTCACATGAGAAATCCACAAACTGTGAGACTTCCAGAGGGACAGAAAAAGAGATACAGCACTTTAAATTTATATGCACGACAACGCTACCTAACTTAATAACTGTTGAGAACAAGTCGTCGAGCTGTTCTTGGGTAACTGACACGTTGCTGTCAGTCGCAACTACAGTATGTACGTCCCTCACGCAATATTACGTTTGAATTATAAGCGCCTTGCTTTATGATGAATTCTTGACTCTTTTAAATTGTTACTAGATACATAGCTTTTGAAATCATTAACTATAAACTTTAACTTTAACGAGCAAAGGAGAGAGTTACAAGATTTCCTCTAGCTAATTGCGTAGTTCCTGAATGCAACTTTCACCTAAAACATTATCTTCTAGACAACTTCCTCATGCATTTCCTTCTCATATTTCAAATACATTTTAATTTATGCACTTATCACTTACGCTACGATCACTGAAGTATATCATATTCAAAATGAGAAGAAGTGGAACGTTGTTTCGCTAAATCGAAAGACCAAAGTATATTTTATAAATCACGATCGTTTATGATCTCAAGAAGGTATACGTAAATCTGAACAGTATCACTATAGGTTAAACGTAGACGTACCTTTTCCCAATAAACGCTATTCTTAAATGTTATCGGTCTGTATGGCTTGAAAATGCTAACTGTAATACTAGGGGCAATTTTCGGATAAAGAGAGGAATGCCTAAAAAATAAGAGGATTGCCTTGACTGTATTCTTTGAAAAAAGATAGTCACCATCTATACCAGACTATTTTTATTACATTATATTCATGATTTTGTAGATACTCTCTTCATCTTAAAAACAGTCACCATCTATACCAGACTATTTTTATTATATTATATTGTTGACTTTTTATATACTCTGCTCATCTTAAAAACAGTCACCATCTATACCAGACTATTTTTATTATATTATATTGTTGACTTTTTATATACTCTGCTCATCTTAAAAACAGTCACCATCTATACCAGACTATTTCTATTACATTATATTAATTATTTTTAGATACTATCCTCACCTTAAAAACAGTCACCATCCTTACCAAACTATTTTTATTACATTATATTGTTGATTTTTTATATACTCTCCTCAAGTTAAATACAGTCACCTTCCGTACCAGACTAGTTTTATTACATTGTTGATTTTGTGATTTTAGGTGTTTCAACTACAATCTCCTTGACGAAATACGGCACATCATATAACATTAAGCCGTTCTTGATTAAAAGTTGTTCAGTACTTCGTTTTGTAGATGTAGCAGAAAACTTGCACTACATATAATAATTTTTGAACAAAAATATCTAAACCTTTGTTGTAGACGAACTTTTTCTGGATGTTCAACAGCTCTGAAAATAACAAGGTTTTTCAATATTTTCAGCACAGAGTCTTTTCTCTCTCCCCATGCAAACACATACTAAATAAGGCACAGACCCATATGCCTAAACCTCCTAACGCAGTATTGATGAAAGGGTTACTTTTATTTTCGTTTCAATTTATTTGCATAATAACTTAAAACAACACATCCTCAGACAAAAGCAAAACATTGTATTAATTTACTTTTAAATAAAAAAGTAATAGAGGTTTAGAAAAATTTGTTTTGAAAAGTATGTTTACTATGAATCCACATTTGGAGTCGTTAAAAATAATCCAACAGCGTATACATTATCTTATTGGATAAATTCTAAGATGCACTAAATGATTCAATATAACTTCCGTTTTGTCCCCCGGTGGGACAGCGGTTAGACTGTGGACTTAAAACGCTAAAATCCGGAGTTCAATTCTCCGCGGTAGACACAGTAGATAGCCCAATGTAGCTTCGCTATAAATCAAGCAAACTTCCGTTTTTTTTTTTTTATTTTTATACAAGT